CACAAAAGGACTTGTCCTTTTATCCCATGATTTTTGTGCTTACTTAGGAGCCTTTGATGAGGAACTTTATCTAAAGCTTTCTGGAAGTCAAGGTAAACAACATTTATTGGGTCCCCCTTGTCCACATGTCTGTTCACCCCCTCAAAGAACACTAACAGGTTAGTGAGACAAGATCCCTTACAGAACCCATGCTGAGTCTGCCACAATAGGTTTTTTTTTCATCAGTGTGCTTACTAATTCTTTCCTTAATAACAGTTTCCACCAATTTATCCAGTATCGACGTCAGACTGATTGGCCTGTAATTTCCCGGATCTCCTCTGAAACGCTTTTTAAAGATAAGGGTGACATTAGCTACCTTCCAGTCCTCAGGAATGGAGGCAGATTTTAATGAAAGATTACATATTTTTGTCAGGATATCCACAAGTTCACATCTGAGTTCTTTCAGAACTCTCGGATGTATGCCATCCGGGCAAGCCCAAAATAAAGACAGTAAGATGTTTCAGAAAGTTTCAGAGTTTAGAACAGAACAGAAACTATATTCAAGAACAAAGTCAAGCTAGTAAGGAATAATGAAGGAATAATAGATAGCTATCGGATGCTCTAATTGACACAAGAACCTGCAAATCTTCTTTCGCTCTCTCCCACTCTCTCTCTCTCTGTAGGGTTGCCTTTAAATGGTTGGGGGAAAGCAGGGGGTGTTTGTGCATGGTACTGCATCCCCAATGCAATGATGTCACTCCACATTACATCATTTCATCAGGAACTGCCCCACCCCTTCCCAGAATGCCCCCCAAATCCTCCCGCTGGGGAGAAGATATGATCTGGCAACCCTATCTCTCTGGGATCCTTAGGCAATAGGCAAGCTTCAGTATGTGACATCAGATTAGTTTGTTTCAGAGCCCCAGCCCAAATCCTTCAGGATTGGAATACCTCACACATGTTCTCTCTATGTGCTTATTAAGAAATGATGGCTTGTACAACTGAAATGAATGGAATAGTCAGAAAGTCAGAGACTACAAATGATGAAAGAAACAGAGCAAAACAAAAGAAAATCATGTTTAGATTGGCAATTTGTTTTGTTTCTATGTGAATTATGATTATTACAAAACACCCCATTTATGTAATTATTGTAACTAATAATGATAGACATGCACAAGTCTATAATGTGTATATCACTATGGCTACCATATCTAAAACTCAGGACAAACAGCACCCTGGATCCAGGTTCAAGTTACAGTCCCAATTCTTTGTCCTTATATTGTAATTTGTAGTTGGGTGCTTGTCATTTTCACAACTCAAATATACTGTAAGGTCTGGCAGGTATTCATCCTTATTGAATGACAGTTGGTTCTGTTTGATCATTCTTTCCTTTCTCCCGTTGAAACTGCATGAGACAATGCTCTTGAACAGCAGAAATGGTTATAACTTAAGGGATGAAAATACTGGGGGGAAATTGGCTAGCTTCAGGGGTTTTATCACAAAGTAAAAAATTCAAAGCACCTGAGATTGAAAATTCAAAATGACAAGCTAAAAAGTGATAATAAAAAGCACTCTTGAGATTCTCATAAAGTGGACACTTGAGAAGAATATGAAAAGAAGTATCAATCTTACCTGAAGGGCATGGGCAGGGTCATTCAGAATATGGGATATTCATAAATCTACCCTGGCAAACCTGAGAGCATTTAACGTAGCCAGACAAAAGGCCCTTGTATTTCAAGGGATAGTCAAGTAATATGCATATACTGGAAGATTTTTTTGGAGGGGAAATACCAAAATATTGAGAGGAGCAAACACAACATGCTCTGAATCTGGTCCTTTGAGAGTCACGTTTCGTAAAATGTTTTTTAACCAGAGCATAAATTCTGTGTTCTCCATGACTTTTTATCAAATCTGATGTTATAGCAAGGGCCATGGACTTCTCATCAAGGAGTGTCATCCATGAAGATCTACAAAAATCCAGTCCCAGTACATGCAGATACTCCTTCTCACTAAAGATCATCTTAACCCTTAAATGAAGCACAAAAAGCGTAGCCCTAGCTTCCAATGATTTTGGGCCAAATTCTGTCCAAAGAGCAATACCTGATACACAGTAAGGGGGCATTTACAAGTCTCTGAAGAAATTGAAGAAGAAACACCAAATAAAAAGAGGATGTGAGGCAAAGCCCCCTGATCCTCCACCCGGGTTAACATGAATATTAGCAGGCACTCTCTGGCTTACAGGTGTCTGTAATTGGGCCTCCCTCCCTACATCAACCTTATCTCCTTCCAGGCCAGGTTCAAGAATGTGATAATTGGCTATCATGAGCACCTTCTCAGTTCTGTAACTAGATGGGAGGGGGGAAGCAGAACTGGATGTCATCGTCTTCTGGAGGGTTCCATCAAGTGAGCTCCCTGATTGATTTGGGGAGACCACCTGGTGCCAGATGATAAAAAAATAATAATTAAGCCATAGACAAGAGGGAAGCCATGCTAACTTCATGTTTTGACTGGGCAGTGGCTCTATGCCAAACCTCATCATGATGGACTGCTATGTAGACAACACTTAAGCCTCTAGCCTAGACTCTGATATTCTAAGGCTGTGGTCACACATGCTAAATAATCCACTTTCAATCCACTTTCAGTGCACTTTCCAATTGGATTCTTACTGTGTGAACTGGCAAAATCCAGTTGAAAAGTGCGTTGAAAGTGGATTATTAAGCATGTGTGATCACAGCATAAGAGCTGTGTCATCTAGTACCAGGTATAAAAGTGTTAGAGAAGTTATCTTATTTTTTGCTGCAGGATTGTAGAGACTGTGTTGCCTAGTGATATTTTATTTCTTAAAGTATTTAATAAGCCTTTATATATTTTACCAAGGTCTGGTTTCTTGTGTGCAAATAACCATGAGGACCCATACGTCTGAGTGCTGCTTGCTTGCCCAAGGGGTAGTGGCTCAGAGGGACCCAGGCTTGGGTCCTTGACAGAGGAATAACTTCTAAATTAAAGACCAGAATAGCACAGAGTGTATATCTTACAGAACGGAAGAAATTTAGAACTGCTCCTGTGCTCAGATTGGCTTTATTAAGTGCAAAATTATGGTGAATGCTCTAAGGCAAATTTGATGCAAACAAAGTACCTGGATATCTGAATTCCCTAACTTGGTCAAGCATAAGGCCATCAAAGAGCCAAATAAAAACTTCTTAAGGTTAATTTGCAATCCCTCCTTAGAGCAATACTGTAAGAAAATCCATAGTGATCTTTGGAACCCCACCTGAGTATGGGAAAGAAGGAATGCATCATAAGCGTAAAGGAGAACAGAAGTGCTAAACTTGGCCAATTAAGGCAGATGAACTTCAAAAAACTTGTGGACAAGCCATTTATATATAAATGAGATGTGGGCAAGAAGGCATTCTTGTTCTCACCTCTTTGTTCCATTTAAATAATGCAGGTAGTTAACCTTCCGACCACAGTGAACCTAAGCAATGAGGTCAGTGTGAAATTTCTGAATGAGGCACAGAAATAATCTCTAGCTGTATTTGCTAATTTAGCCCATAATCTCACTCTACAGATTGCAATCCCCTTTAAGATCCATAAACCTCACAAAAAGATAACTAAATGACTATATTTCTCAGCTTGGTGATAATGCACTAAGCAATGATCCAGGGTAGATGTATGATAATTCAAAGACTGCAAATTCCCTTTTGCCCAAGATGACTCTCCTAGATAGACATGAACCCTTCTAGTCTATAAATAAAATACTGCAATCATTTAATGCATTGGGTTGTTTTTAGCCATTTGGGATTGGTTCCTGTCTCCCATTGTGAAGGTCTCCCCCTCCCCCTCACCTCTGAATTTGCTGTATCCACTTAGATTTTAGGAGCCTCATTTTGAGAATTCTTGAGGTTGGGTGCTGTTATTCTTTATTGTTGTTACTGTACTTAAGGCATTAATAATGAATTGATGTGTTGTGTCTGATTTTAAAAAATGATGCTTGTTACCTTAAACTTCTAAAGAGGATTTAATTTAAGCTAGATCTCAGCCCTAGGAGCTGAGCATCATGTTTTTCCCTGCAAGTCTAGGGCCAATTAGCAAACATACAACCAGAGGTACTGTATTAGTGTGTGTTGCTAAGAGAAAAGCAGTTTCTGGGTCCTTTTCTTAGATATTGAATGTAATTTCACCCTTGCCAAATACTGTATGCTGAGTGCATAGTGGGGCTGTGCCGGTCTTGGTGTCCATTCAGCACCATACCAAACAGCAACCTGTGACATGACATGGAATATGCAATGCTTCCACCCGACTCAAGAAAAGAGTATGAAAGGCTTTTTGGGGGGGGGGGGGGGAAGAGGGAGAAAGAAACCATCACATATGGTCAGAAGGCCTGTCTATCTGACAAGATATTTCCTTTTATCACACACCTCTTTTGTGACAATTTTCCTGGACCTGGGAACACATCTTTCTAAGTAGTCTTTTTAATCCCTTCCCTTACTTTAGAGTTATTTGAGGGGCTGCACTCCATCTCCTCATCAGGGTTCTCCAGTCCCCCCCCCCCATTTTTGCAATCCTCCCTATTTCATGATCCCATTTCCATTTTGCAGTTTTATCTATGATGTTCTATCGCTTTCTGTATCATTCTCATCTGTTCATCTTGGTGATTTACAGAATCAGAGGAATGGCATTCTGAAGTCAGGGCATACTTTTAGAGAACAGAAAATTGTGTGTTTCTAAGAATGACTTACAGAGAAAGTCCTTAAAGCTACAGGGTTTTTTCTCTCTTTTGTTTGGAATTTTCATTATACAAGATTCCACTTTCTACGCTGGAAAAGGGAAATCCAGTCTTTATGCAGCTACATTTTCAAAAGGCTGTTTAAGCAGCCATCCTCAAACAACTTGCATTTCATAATTTTTTTTTGAACTTTTGTGAGATACATTGTGGATTGGTTTGTGTGAGTGTGTCTGGGTATGTGCATGCAGCTTTAGAGGTTTTACAGCACATTCTTTGACTTTCTCATTTTCCACAGATGCCTGTGTATTACTACCCATCTGGTCAATACCCTACCTCAGCAACTCAGCAGTATAGGCCCATGGCCTCAGTTCAGTACAATGCGCAGCGGAGTTCCCAAATACCACAGACTGCTCAACAAGCAGGTATTTGCTCCTATTACTTTATTCTTCAGCTGTATCCTTCAAAGTTCTATTTCTGGATGAACCCATAGGCATGGCGGTCCAATCTATGTGTAAATGCGAGAAAATTTTTGTGGCTCCCAAAGTGTCATCGCTCTACCTTTTACTCCACCAAAGCCAAGAACCATTTTATTCCTAAAAACAAAATTCTGATTCTAAGGACATCTAACCCATGTTCACAAAACCTCCTGAGCTGACCAGCTGAAATGTACATAGGTTAACATGGGGAGATAGGAGGAGATGCAAAATCAGAGGTATCTAGTGACCCGTTGTGCAAGGTATATTCTCCACCCTACCTTGATTGGGGGTGCAGAACGGTATGTTCCTTGTCTTACATGGAACCTATTATCTGTTTCTTGTTTTTTATGCTCTTGGATAGTCATCTCTCCTTTATAAAAGGAGCTGGAAGGGGGGGCTGTTATACTGTGCAGCTGGAAGGGGGGCCGTTACACTGTAAGAGAGTGAGTAGCAGGTCTCACAGTGAACCGGTCTCTTTTCCTACTGTGTCTTGTTGCTCCTAATAAATGCTGTTCAGACAAAAATCTGCAGATGAATGTTGGCTTGTTTGCACTAGGCGTGTGGTTCATTGAGTTGCTATTGAGTGAGAGAAAGAAGAAACACTGATTGTCCAATACCCCTGTATAAAGCTGTCCAATTCTATGATTCAAGCAAGTTGCTGTCTCAGTGGATGTCTATATGATGATGTCTATCAGTCCATTATGGGATGGTTTTCAATATGTGGATTCTTGGATATGAAGTTTTTCTCTATATTAATGAAAAAGAGGTTTTAATACAAAGAACCTGTAGGATGTTCAGAGACGGAAAAGAACTGCACAACCATATGGTTGGAAATGTTGCTCTTTCATCATTTAAAAAAAATCACATTAAACCAGCCCAAGAAACAGTGATAATTGATTGTTATTTATCATGATCTTCAAGAGTGTTTTTCCAGTCTTTTTATTTTTTAATAACTCCAGTGCTCTGGTTATTTGGTTTAGATAGGAATAACTAATTAGTATCAATAACACCTTTTCCTCATGTCATATCTTTTATCAAATGCTTACAAAGGACAGCGAGAGTGAGACAAAGGAGTCCATATACTAAAAAAAACAGTGGTTCATTTTGCTTCACTTGTCTTAACAATGCCATTCCATATTTATTACTGATTTACATTAAGCCTTTCATCTTAAATGCAAAATATATTGTATGAAATTACCTTCTTCTGCTCTGTGCTTCTGAATCCTTACTTAACCTATCAGTTAAATTGTGCATCAGTAATACAGAAATTACATTAAAGAAATCATATATGGTATTCTCTGAACTATATCAGCTATGTTTTAAGAAGTAGTTTTATCATAAACCTTTCTCATTCCTGATTTACCTAATACCTTGTATTTAATTTATCTATTTGTCACATTTTTTACCCCGCCTGTCTTCCATGGAGTTCAGGGAACTTTTAATTAGAACATGAGCTGGAACGCTTATTGCTTATGAGGTTGAGAGATTTCCAGTGTCCACTTGTGTTCCAAGGACTCTTTACAAATGTGAGACTCCATATCATCAAAGATTGAAGAATTGTGTGTACCCGTAATATTTCTTGCTATGCTTGTTGGCTTCTCTGTTGCTGTTTGCCCATGTATACATGATCTGTGGGTACATTTTAGTATTTCTTCCATATGTAATTACCTTTCCTGAGTTCCAGATGAATTGCTTCATAGGAGCTTCTGTGCAGTGAATCTGTATCTTTTCAGAGGAAAGTAAGAGAAAGAAATGTCTTTTATAGTACTAAGACACATCGTGTGTAAGGGACAGATAAGTGCCAGAATCCATATGCTCAGGGGCCAGAACATTCGCCTTAAAAACTGAAAAAGCTATACAATTGCTCTTGTACATTCAGAAAGAAATGCTAAATGAGGAACAACATGTAAGGCTATGGTGCAATATTGATGAAAGCTACATATTTGCTCATAAGTACAGCAGGACTGGAAGTTTTCTCAGCATAAGGATATGAAGGAGATTTCGGCATGTGTGTGTGTGTGAGTGAGAGAGAGAGAGATTCAGTTCTCTGGGTAGATTACAAATCAACAAAAATGACAACTGTTTGAAGGTCATCTCAAAGGCAAAGTGAAGGACAAAGCTTGTTTTTTGTGGTGAGCAAAGACTTAAATAATACATATGAGATGCATGCTAGATAGTGAGAAGCATCCTGGGTAAGAAGAGATGATTGCAGAACTAGGTAGTTGTCATGACAGGTTCTGAAGCGGCTTCCCTGAAGACTTAGCACCACTTGCCTGATGCTGAAGGAAAGTGGGAATCTGTGAGAACACTGAAGCCGTATGGCAAAGCCCAGGGGAATGGAAGCGGTGCCTACCAGCAGAATAGCAAATGCAATGAAAGTTCTGAGCCTTAAGAACTTGCAGGCAGTGTTATAAAAAGAAGCTTCCCCTGCCCAGTGGCGTCTTGAAAGCTTTCATCTCCCTGGCAAGCTTGTGAGTGTGCATAGTTTTCCCACTGTGAAATACAGAGGTCAAGGCAAGCTCTGATACCAGCAATTTGTTTGTGTTTTCCTCAGAAAAGGTCTGGTTATGAGTGGTGCAATATTGATGCGTTCTACAGCAATTGGCTGAAGCAAAATGTCAGTGTAGTATCGTTAATGGCCGAGGGAGTATGTATTTTCTCATAGCTGTGGAACAAGAGCAATATGAAGCTAAAATGGCTCCAGGGCAGAGAGAAAAGATGAGCTCACCTCAAATTAGATTACTATCTGACAGCAATAAATCATTTTGCAAGAGAGATGAGAACTGGTATGTATGTGTGTGCTTATACAGAGTACAGCTCGGCTATAAAGAGATTTCCCACAAGATCCTGCTTCACAAAAGATTCACATAGGACATCTTCCTGTTTAAATTGGCTAACCTAGGAAAAGATCGTATTCGTTACATAGCATAATTTAATGTTTTAGCCCTTGAAATGATTGATTGCAACAATATTGGACCAAACGTCGTTTTCTTGTCTATTGTATAATATGCATCATTCAGATCCTCCGAGGATTTTCTTTTCCAGTTATCATTTGGTTAGCAGGAACATCACCTGGTGTACAGGTAACAGGCAGTGTGGTTGGTCATGCTTTCATGTTCAGGCATGGGTCTTCAGGGGAAACTGCCAGGAAATAACATTCCAAAGAGTGTGCTACACCCACCCAGATGCTTCCACCCAGATTAGTAGGAAGGTGATTCCTGTTGACTTTTTGGTAGATAGGGCATTAGGTTATTTCCAAAACACGTAATGCTCACACAGTAGACTGTGGGCAAGATCCAGTCAAATTATATCCACCTCTTCAATTGTATTCGTTTCAAATGGAGGTTCTCAAAATAAATGGGATTTCAGGATTAAATTAAAACCTACCTTCTGCCATGGTGACTGGTTGAGATGTGCAGTTAAATATACCTATTTTTAATCGTTGGCGGAGTTAAAAACATTTTGTTTTCCCCAAACATATCTCTCCTTCAAAACTGAAAACAAAGAACGTCAGCCTGGAGAAAGTGGTCTCCTGGTACCTCACAGTCTGCAGATATACCCTTGTTGTGTGTCTCACTGTGTCTCCCGGAGTTTAATTGTGCTTTTAGGTTGTTCCTGCTCCTGCTTCTTGTTCATTGTGTAAGAACATTCAGAGTATTCACCAGTTTTTATTTTGTGTGTGGGCGTTTTAAATCTGCCCCCCCCCAAAATCTGATGAAAGGTGATTCATACATTCATATGTAAATTAAAATGGCATGCAAGAATATTTCATATATCTTTTGGAAACAAAAATCTGATAATTTGGAATGTACTTTACATAATTTTGCATTAGCATAAGGCTGCAATGGAAGATAAATGAGTCATTAGGAGCCTCAGATAACTACAAAGATATTGCTCCATTTATTTTGACAATTACATGTGGTATTGACTTTCTGTAATATTTACAAATAATCCCTTGAACTGTGGCATTCATCTCAGTTCCCTGCTTGTTGATGATTTGATTTGATTTCTCCAGCATTCCAGCCTAAAGAATGCTTTCCATTTAAGCAAATAAATCTCTCAGGCAATGCCAGGTTTCTTGAAGGGGAGAGATAAAAACAATATTTCTATATTCTTGTCAAACTGCATTGTACAAATTACATTTCTGCCACTACCCAGTATTTTATTTTTGAACTCTGACTTTTCTTTGGGAGTAGTTTGAAACTATTAGAACCTGGTACTTCTGTCTGCTTGAGGAAATGAAGATCTGATGGTGGTGGTGATTGTTTTCCCCCAGCCCAAAACAAAAAACACCGTAGCTGAAATCATCCCTGGTATAATGGCACATGTAATTTATAAAACATTGTGTCTTCTGAATGTTTTCTACTGTTGGAGCCTCTCAAAACCCATTTGTATTAGGTAAGTATTATCATGTCCATTCCCAAATGGTTAAAAAAAAAAAAACCCTGGGAAATGGATGAGTCATTTAACATCTCTGGTGCAAACATCTTCATGACATGATAGAAATTTATATACGTATGCCTTTTGGATTGCAGTTTTGTTTTAGCTAGGGAGTGTGAGAGACCAGTGTATGGTTTGTGTGCCTGCTTTGAAAAAGGCTGTACATGGGGCCAGGCTTAGAGTTCCACCAGTATGGGCCGTGGCCCCATTGAGACTGCTTAAAGAGAGGGTGGGGCTTGTTAGCATAGGCAAAGTTACTTGGAATGAAGTGGCCTGTTGGATAAGTGTTCTATGTGTGTGTGATACTAATCTGGGCAGCATTCTGGGTTTATTATACCAAGTTTAAGATGCAAACTCAGGGCATGATTTATACCCCCCTTTTCTCCCCAATGAATGCCTAAAATGGCTTAGAAATATTCTCCCCTTCCTCATTTTATCCTCTCAAGTAACCTGCAAGGTAGGTTAGGCTGACAGTATGTGACTGGACCAAGGTCACCCAGCAAGCT